CCTAGCTTCTTTTTTCTCAGCCTCCAATTCTCCTATACGTTCTGCGTCCGCCTTATCAGCTTTCACTTGTGCAATTTCGGCATCTATGTCGGCATTGTTAGATTCAATCTCCAGCGTATTGAAGAAGGAGAGAAGAGCCTTGGATGAATTTTTCAGGGCTTTGAGAGTCGATTGTGCGTGAGAGAGAACCTCCGGGTCGCCAGTACCGTCCTTGAGATCTTTGATAGCTTCAATGACGTAGTCAATTTCTTTTTGCTCATCGCTCACTGCATCGACGACGATCTCCCCAATAATTCGGACAAGCTCGCTTATACGCTCAGCCTTCTCGCGTTTAACTCCAAATACGGCTTGTTTCTCAGCGTTCTCAAAGTGCTTCTCTACGATTTTCATCTGGCTGATGTTGCCAGCGGCATACAGAGGTTGCGTCTCGGTCTTTTTATAGCGTTTGTCGCGCTCTGCAACGAGCTGAGCAACGCTGTCGTGTCTCTTCTCGATCTGTTCGTGAACATCCCTTAGCAGTTCGAAGCAGTCTTTCGTGCTTGGATCATCTGTTCCCTCTAGACTCCTGAGTCCACGTACAGAGGAATGAAGTAGCTGCTTAGCTTCGACATACAGATCCATGAGGACCTTGATCTCGCCATGTAGGCCAGTGAAGACCGGGTCGAATACGGCGTCCACATAACTCTGATATTCGTCTCTGTCTTCTTGTGCTTTGAGCTCCGCTTCTTTCTGCTTGAACTCTTCTTCGAGCTGGTTCATCTCTGCGTACGAAATCTCATTGCTGTTGAATAAATCGTCATTGTGCTCCTCGTTCTCTTCTTGGCGCTTGCGACGAGCGTCATCCTTTTTGCGGCGGCTTAGAGATGCTGACTTCTCCCATGTCTTGGTAAGCTCTTCGACCTTGCTGGATTTTGACCCAACATCCGCTAGCTTAGCTCTAAGGTCCTGTATCTGGCGGTTTGGAAGGTCCGAATCGATTTGCTTCGACAACAGTCTTTTGAGAACTTGATTGGGATCTTCTTTCGATGGTGCAGCGGTGGACATTGGGCGACGTGGAGTTAGAGTCAATGGCGCGGGCAAAGGAACATCTGCTTCGCTACTGGACGGTTGAGCAGCAGGCGCCTGCGCAGTCGCTCGATGAGCTTCGAAAAAGATCTCATCATGTCCCTTGCTGCTCCTACGCCCTGACGGTGAAGCCACAACTGGAGTATTGGAGAAAGACATTGTTTGTCTGTGCCTCAGCTGAGGAGGGTCGACAGATATGCTAGCAGGAGGAACGTATGCCTTGTATTGAGGTTGCACCTGCTCTTCGGGCAACGACTGTACTGGCGTTTTGTTCGTGTCGTCGTCAATAGAGCTTGTCGGGGTTAGGATTGTTGTTGATACTACCGAAGGAGGTGCCTTTGGAGCACCCTGGTAATTCTCAATAGGCGGTATCGTACTCTGACGTGCCAGAATAGGTCTTCCACCAGGACTATATTCATAGTCGTCTTCATATGCAGACCTGTGCGGAACTTGTATGTTCAGGTCCTGCCTCCTGGTGGACATGTCTGAAGCTGCACGAGAGCGCGCAACTTGGTCTGTCTCGTGCGGCACCTCTGGCACTACTGGAAGCGTTTGCGTTGAGGCGTCAAAAAAGTTGATTGCCCGCATGCTAGACTCTACCTTCATGAACGCTGTGAAAATCTTCATCTTCTCTTCAACTAGTGGTGCTGTTGCCTCACTACGAAGCATAGCTATGTATCGCTCTAATGAGCCAACGTACCATGGGTCGATATCCGAGATAAGATCAGAAGGGGTGGGTTTCGGCAACTCTCTCAGCTTTTCGGCTTCAAGTTGGCGTTTCAGCTCAGCGATAATATTGTCACGCTCCTCAATATTATGTTCTTTGCCTTCCACATCTTCTTGCAGTCTTTCAATTGTCATGTTCTTTTCCTTCACTAAAACCTCGGAATTGGCAGTGGCCTGGTCTGCTGCTGTTCTCATAGTCTCAATTTGCGCACGTAAGACGATCATCTCGCTCGTGCTGTGCGTCTTGTTGGCTTGATACTCAGATGAGAGTTTCTGATTCTCAGCTTGTAGTGCCTCAATCCTCGCGTGTAGTTCAGCACTTTCCCGTTCTGCATCTGCGCGCAGCTGACGGAGAAGGTCATCCTTCTCTTTCAACTTCACAGTATAATCATGACTGGGGATTTCTGCATCTTGAAATTCATTGTTATTCTGTGATTTGAAATGATGCTTTGGTTGTGTCGGGGTGTGTTGTAATGGATTCCATCCGCCTTCGGTCATGGCAGACTCTGTTACGAACACAGCAGGTTGATGAGGAGGCTTCGTACCGTGCATAGGTTTTGGTGTAGTTCTCAAGGGCGCTACGATGGCATCTTCTACTGCGAACCCTTGGTTGGGCGACGGCGATCCTTGTTGCTCAGCAAGACTTGTCGTTACAGATGGCGGTGTGGGTGTATAGCCTTCGTCCCACTCGCTCGAACTCACGTGTGCGGGACGTACCGCAGGACTAGGAAATCCATGCGTGGAGGGAGGAGATGGACCGTGGGCAGGCAGCTCAACGCTTTCCGGTTGGATAGGCTCGCTCTTCTTTTCCTCTCTCTTTACTCCGAAGAGTTCTTCGTCGTCGATTTCCTCACTGCCGCCCAAGTGTTCCCAATCAGAAGGCGCTCCAGCAGCTAGCACACTAAACCTCGACTTGTCATCACGGGGTGGAGGTGGTATAGGTAGTTTGGATGCAGGAGGTTTTGGCGAGGATGTCTTATTCTCTGCTCGCTGTGCGTAGAGATTGGCAAGAGCTATGGAGCTCACGGAGTCGGTGCGCCCAGACACGTGCTGGTAACCAGACGCGGAGCTTACACTCGGACGATTCGATATCGGAGACACGGGTTGACTCGGTGGGCTTGGCTGATGGTAGAAATTAGACGTAGCGGTATCAATTCGATTGAATGGCTTTGGTTCTTGAACCTCTTGGTTTGTTGTCTGAGAGTACTGCTGTCCCGAGAAAGAACTTTGTGTTTGATTTCCTGATTGCGAGGGCTGCTGGTGCGGCTCATACGTCTGTGCTGTATTGTGTTGATAATTGGGCCCAGGCGCTGGAGATGCAGACTGCCACGGTCTCTGGAAGTGCGAGTCTTGTGAAGGCGGCTGACCGTGCTGTTCATACAGTGAATATCCGTGTTGTTGCTGTACGGGCTGTTGATGCGATTGTGCTTGTGGATATACTGGTTGTCCGACTGGCTGTTGCTGAGCTGGTACCACACTCCCGAAATGACCTTGGTGTTGATGTTGCTGCTGCTGCTGTTGCTGCTGTTGTTGTTGTTGCTGCTGCGGGTATTGGCCTGCCGATTGCTGCAACTGGTGAGGTGTCTGCGATGGTGGTGGGTATTGATCAGGCGTTGGATATCCGTACTGAGGTTGGTGGTGCTCTGAATGTTGCGGGCTCTGTAGGCTATGTCGTGGAGGCAGAGGTGGTGCTTGTTGCTGCTGTGCACTATGATAACCTTGTGGGTAAATACCAGTGTCCACGGTTGGCCTAGGTTGCGTGAAGCTGTTTGCGCCGCTCTGGTGGGGCGCATGCTGTGACTGCTGCCATGTTGGAGCTACTGGGGGAGGAGGAACGTATGCTGGTGCACCATGTCCAGTAGAAGGTGGCTGTGTGTAGGCCGGCTGCTGCTCGTTCGGACTTGTAACCGTGGAGGGCTGTCCCGTACCGTAGACGGAGCTGGGCCGTCCTCCTTGTGAAGAAGGGAAGTTTGGCCTGCCAGGTGTGGTAGAGGGCGGAGGAGGAGCTGCTTGATGATAGGGCTGTTGTGGCGCTCCCTGCACTGGATACCCTCCCTGTTGCGCATGAGGAGCGTACCCAGTGTTCTGTTGCGGTTGTTGCGACCAATTCTGCGTGCTCTGCTGCTGTTGCTCTTGCCGTTGGACTGCCGCTGCGAAGCCATAGGGTTTCGGCGGAGGCGGAGGAGGCTGATCCTGCTGAGGCGGAGGTTGGTATGAATGATGCTGCGCCCCTGGCATAGTGCCATATGTGCCTGGATTGTATCCTCCCGTCCCTTGTTGTTGCGCTTGATTCCATGGGCCTGATGTGTGTGTTGGCGTCGGCGCAGCCCATTGACCGTGGGCTTGGGGAGCGGATGTTTGGTAAACCTGAGAAGCTTTGCCATCATGTCAGCGCCTCGCTACGTAGATATGCCCGATGCTGAACAGACATACCTCCATATCCAGGGGGCGGTGGTGGCACTGGTGGAGGGCCAGCCTGTCCGGTGAAGCTTGTCGTGCTTCCTGGCCGCTGATAGCCTGGGGCTTGCCCGTAGTTCTGCATCGCGAGTGCCGTCTCCTCGCGCTACCTGCCCGGTTTATGTGTGTCGCAAGGCGTGGCAGATGGTCTTGGTTGGGCGCGTGCTCTCGAGATACGAGCTGAAGTGCCTGTGTGTATTAATAGGCTCCCCAGAAGTGTGATATGCACATGTACGGCAAGTGCTAGAGTTGGATCACGAAGCGAATTGAGATAAATCGTATGGCATTGATGTAGATAGTAAGTACAAGAAGGCTATACCGAAATACGTCAAGCTGTGCTTCGCCTACACGGCACAAGGCTGAATGCTCGAGTCCAGGTGTGCAGGAAGTGGAGTGGTGTCACAGCCACGCGGTGATCTGCATGTGCTCTCGTCCCCGCTTCCCGTTGCCTGGCTTCCTCCTGTCTTGGCCCTTGTCTTAGCAAAACCAACTCGCTTTCTTCTCAACATCGTCGTTGCACACCAAAAGGCGAAATCGAGTGCATTCTCGAGATAAGATCAAACCACAGTAGATTCGTAAACCCAAACAGCCGCCGTTACGTTCAAATCCTACTTCTCCGTCTCTGATCTGCGATATGCGCAAGGACATACTCCACGTCCATCGCAATCGCTTCCAGTGTTTCTTTTTGCTGGACCCCTTTCGGAGCCTTACGTGTCATGCCTCCCGCCGTACTCAACGTCATCTGCGTCACGTCAACATACATCCACTAGCGCCTGAAACACGAGGCCTACCATATCCCAACGATGACGGTCGTTGTTCGCAGAGTCTGCTCCAATGAGCCTTTCCAATGAGACGTAGGTGCCCTCTGTCAGCTTCTTCCCTTGTCGCTGCTTCTGGTTTGCATCAGGTGTTGATCCAGACTCCGCGCTGGAAGGGAAATGGTAGCATTGGGAAGAACCTCGCATCTTCATTCGACTCGTCTCTTGTACGATCTTGACATCGCCGAATGATGCATAATCAATCGGAAGCTGAACGGTGAATGATTTGCAGAGCACAGAAGGAGCCTCCTTCTGGTATGTGTTTGCTGTGACGACCAACACATGGAATACACGGTCTTGTAGTAAGCTAAGACCAGCGACCTTGGGCATCATATGGAACATTTGAGATACTAAGATACTTCAGCAACAGTCTGGATAGACGCATAACTCTCTAGATGAGAGACTTACTAAACATTTCTACACTGTGAATTTCCTTATGGTGACCTGAACGCTGTACAGCTTTTAATAGTTCTTCGTGGTCCCACTTCAAAAGTTCGATGGCGTCGAAAACGCTCGGCGTATAGGTAGCTTCATTGCGACTGTGGTCTTTTGCTAGCAGGTCGCCCAACTCGGAAAACTTGACATGGGTATTGCTATGAGTAGAAGTCCTGACTGCCCATTTGGCTTGGTTCAAGTCTTTGATGCGCTTCTCGACCGAGACTGGGACAGGAATATCATCGTTGCTCTCCGTAGCGTTCAATGGAGGCATCATTACATTCCCACTGTCGGGGCTCCAGGTCCCGCGGTTCTCAAAACCTTCATCGAATTGAATTTTTCGTACTTCGCTAAAGAGGCTGTCGAGAAAGTGCACTAAGCTTACATTATGATCTGAGGCAGCGTTGTTATATGCCTGATGATGGGGCAAATCGAGCTTCTTCAGAGGATTCAGGTTGAGATATTGACGTTTTGGCGTCGCTGTGGTGATGACCGTAGTGTCACCAGGCATGGAATTAGCATCAGCATCTTGCCCGACATTGTGCTGGGATCGTAGTGTCTCGGGCTGGACAGGATTCCTTGCATCGACAGGTTGTGCCATGCTTCTAGCGGAGCGGATGTCTTGGAAATAAGCAGCAGAATACAACAGGCCGTTAACTTAGATCCGCTGCAGTCGTTTGACAGGTGACAGGGCAAGTATGTTGAAGGCCTAGACCGCTGAGATGCAAAGAATCGTCTAGTACAGCGGGTAATCGTTGCGGCTACCAGCATATAGATCAGCTGCAACCCATCCTACTTGAGCCAATTTCTTACGTACATGAATAGGTGAGCCACAAGTTCGCACAAGGACTGTATGTGGCGCCAGGCGCGAATAGTGTGTAATGCGAGCGTGGTGACTAATAGGTGATACACCACCTGCGCATGTGCCGCGATGATCTAGAACGGACTGGAACTGCACAGACTGTATACAGAGGAAGTGTTGTATGTATTGCAGAGGCGATTGGTAGATGCCAAGCAGAGGCTTGATGGAAAACGCGACGATAGAGGACGAAGTTGTAACACTGAAACGGAAGATCGACAAGTACAAGTGCCCTTGATTGGCTCGTGCCTGTTTGTGTGACGCTACGATGTGCTAGCTGGAAAGCAGCCAGTGTTTGGTTTGAACTACATGCTACCTAGATGGAACACAAATACTGTCTTGTAGGCAACCTACAACGATAGTGCGTATTGAGTTTCGCGTTCTGAGATTTACAAGTCTTTGGCATGGAGATACTGGGTACAATACTTAGCTGGCAGGCAAGCTACCTAGCAAGCGCGACATAGGCTCTACTCTTTGCTGTGCTCTAGCGACATGACACAAATAATATCCTTTATCCCAGGACTACGCTCTTCATTCACCGAAGGTTGCAGATATCCCTTGTAATGAAAATGGCAAAGTATGCGACTTAAGTAATGCAATTCCGTTCGCTAATAATTCTTTGGAAGCGTATTGAATAACAAACAGGTAGTGTCACAAGACTCACTCAACATGCGTTAAAACGGAATTGGTCCATGAATTAGGAAGGCTTAAAATATGTGTGAGACTGCCACAGGTGCCTAGTGTACTTAAGTACAGGGTGTGCGTGTAGAATTAAGCAACAGATCAGTAGGTGCCCTTCTGATCTATCGACTCCATCACCATTGGGTCATAGAGAGAACACGCAAATGCGGGCCGATATTCACTTTTGAATGCCGAGTCAGAAAAGCCGGTTGTCTAGTCCCGAGATCGTCCTGCTGTCAGTACTTACGTTCCGCGGGCGTCAGACTGATAACACGATTGCTCCTCGGAGCTCACAGCCAATGTCTGCAGGACCCTCGCTCGCAGTCCCCACCCGGCAATGGCAGGATTCTCGTACCGGACGTCTGGCTCAACTGTGGTCTCGACTAACTCTCACTGGCAGTGAACTGCGACTTGGGTACTCCACAGCACCTGCATAATGCATATATCCTTGCCTTTGCCCATTCAAACGACATGCCGAAGTGCCAAATCTACTACCATAAGCTGCATGCCGATGCTTGAATCAGGCGACAACACAAAATCAGCTGTTTTTGTCATAGTGAAATCTTGTGATAATCTCCCTCTTTTCACGCGGAATGTGAACGAGCCCGCGGGCCATAAAAGCCACTGTCCGCGGTAGGTAGACAAAGGTCCTCATAGTGTATCCGGAATCCGAGCGCGCCGCGGATTAAAATCGACAAAGGCTATTGCTATGATGTAGTCATTTCAAATTGTGGCGTCTTTGCTTGCCATGTCGGGGGCGTTCAAGTGTGGGTGGACCCGTTCGCTCTATTCCTTTGAACGTGCTGTCGATCGGCAAGCGCGGGCCCGGTATATAACGCGGACGATAGACATTGTCGTGCGGCGTGGACTCACCTGTCACGTGATACCGATTATCGATTGAATCCCTGCCATGAGGAGCTGGATCAGCATGCCAAATCTTCGATGTTGATGAACATGGATAAATCTCTCAAAATCCACTCAGCACGCTATGCCAAGCGCATAAGCTCGATGTTGCTCGGGACGGACGAATGAAATAACTCCGCCCTAGCTGCTAGCATGACTTTTACTACAGTGGCAAATTAGTTACTTCTCGGATGCATGCTCTCCGTTAGGCGCCATTGAACCCGCCTTGGGCAAGCATCGAGATCGCCTCGTACGATTTGTGGTCATGTCGATTCAAACGAGGCTGACTGCCTGCCACACTATACAACGAAGCTGGTGGAAGGGTCCAGACCATCGCCGTTGCCAACTTTCCAGCCCCCATTTGTACGAGAGAAATAGTCAAGCACATAGTGTTGTTCAAGCGAAAAGATCTAGATTTCCTATGTACAAACTCCGCGTGCTCCTGCAACTGCCCACATGCTCGCCATGCAGCAGTTCCGTGTATTCTCACAGAATACCCCACGGGAACTAGGCTTCCCATACCTCTACTCCGAAATGGCAGGTCTCCTGCATGCAAACAACATCCATTCAAACGGCGCAGGCTTTGCGCATCTAGAAGGGCCCATCATCCAACTCCAACCCCTCATTCTGTCAGGCAGGGATCCGTCCTCGGTATAATCACTTGGTAATCGAAAGGTCGACTGATTGCGTTTGGGGTATCATCTCGAAATGGCAAATAACATATGAAAACGTAAAGCGTCTCCGCGTATGCTTACTGGGCTGATGTGCGATACACGCATGCCAAACGTGGCTTTACTGAGGTTGTGCAGCGATGCAGCTGCTCGCATGTAGCACATGCTGTCCACTGGAACGAGCCATGTGGAATGCTCCTACCATATCGTGTACTGTAACATTGGTATAAATTCAAAAAATCAAGGCGAACCTTCGGTTTCCATCACGTCGTCATCCGCTGCTCTTGATGCTATTTCTCCTGCTCTTACAAGGACGGCGAGTGATCCCTGATTTCGATAATCATGGGAATTATGTGAGAGGTGGGACGAAGGCATCGGTGGCATCGGCCGGTCCAATGGAGAAGCTAGTGGTCCCATACTAGGCACCGGTTGGGGAAGCATGCGCATCGTTTTGCTCGGGTCTGCAGGTAATGTCTGCCCAGGGTAAACTGTCATGGGATACCCTGTGGATCCTTGCGTGCTATGACCGCTCTCGGATGATAGTGTCGTGTCTTCGTGGCTGAGAGGGGGAAGACGCGCGGATTCCCGCGGAGTCCTACGAGAAAGCAGGTCGATGGGCGCCTGGTAGTGAGCTGAGTGAGGATATGAAGGCGGTGGTGTGGATGCGATTTTCTGGTGGAGATCCAGATTGTACGCAGAAGGTTGATGATATGGGTTGGCATCAAAAGGAATCCTTGGGTCCCGAATGGGGTTAGGTACTGATGAATCAAAAGCACCATCTCTTTGCATGCCAGTGGTCCGTGGAGAGGCAGAAGTAGGGGAGAATTGTTCGCCTGAGCGCGGAGAGGTAAAGCCAGAAAGGGGGCGGTTGGCCGGCGACGTTGAGGTTGAGGAATAAACTGGACCAGCTGGAAGTCGTGAAGAGCCAATGAGCGGGATGGGATCCGGTTTCTGCTGCGGTGTTGTTTGGGCATCTGACTGGATAGTACTTAATGCTCGATTTGTGGCTTGGTCGTTCTGTTCATAGCTGCCTCCTCGTGTTGAAGTACTGGTTTCGGACTCCAGTTTCGAACGTTTGCCTTCTGCACGTGTCAATACCTTGCGGGAGAGTTAAATGGAAATTGTAAACAGACCTTTAGTAGGCACCGAGTGCTTCGCCTTAAAGTCTTCAAGGTACTTCTGGTAAGCCTCGTAGTTTGGCGTCTTCTTGTACTCGGCCAGTTCCGCATAGTACTTCTCTTTTGCACCATTGGCTTGTCGTTCGCAGCCTTCGCGTTCCTCGGCGGGCAAGACCTGCCATTTCTCACCGACCACCTTGGCAATCTCGGTGAAGGAAAGATCTTGTCCCTTCAGTGACTCTCGCACCTCTGCCACGAGTTAGTTGACTTCACAGTGCACCAAGGCAAAACTCACGGTTTGAGAAGATGACGTAAGCCGATGGTGGGCGTTCGGGGGCATGTTCGTCAGGCTATGCCAAGTTAGCAAGGTTGCAGGACATGGCAGAAGTTGACATATGAGCTACCTTTGGGTGTCGCCGGTACTTTCGCTTTGCGCCTGTGCCGCCGGGCGCAGTGTTGGTAGAGTCTGGCTGCTTGGCTTTGGCCTCTGGCCCTGAGTCGTCACTGCGGTATGAGCCGGCAGTGCTTCCAGCTCGTGCAAGACTGATGGGTAAGGGCCGATCAGAAGACTGCCCGCGCGATTCGGCGATGGCCCGCTGAAGTTTCTACAGGAATTTAGTTATTGGTAAGGCTTCAGGCAAAGGAAAGTGACCTACTCTACGATGTCCAAGCTTGACGTTTAGGGAACTTCTATACAAGAGTGAGCACAGATGTCTCCAGGTACGGGTGGGGTATGCACGCACAAGTCGGATTCTGTTATGTCGAGCACAGTCTCCCATGTGTCGAAGCCTTCGGCCGTGAACACTTCGTGGTATTGGGACAGTCCCAATCGCGCGAGACGTTCTCTCAGGTCGCTCATGTAGGAGGGCGTGAGCGCGACCGCTGGGGTGGTGTGGTGTAGCGACCAACTCTCGAAATGGGCTGGTCGTCGAGGGTTCGATATGTCTGGAATTATTAGAGCACTAGTGGCAATGGATTGGGATCGAGCGTGATCGATAGGACTCTAGTATGGCGAGACTAGTGTACAGGGATAAAATAGGAAATGGTCGCGTCGTGGCCCAGGCGATGTGATTGGTGCGGCACGACGAGTGTGGCGGATCGACTCGTAACGAAAATCCGCGTAAGGGTCAAAGTGTTGCAGGGCGCTGGGCGCAGAGAAGAGCAAGTTGAAGGAGTAGTCAACGACTAAGATGCATCCATAAGTGGTGGCGCCTAACGTTGGGTTTGGGGTAGGTGGGTCCCGGACCGATCAGCAGAATTCTGTGATTATGCTGTGGTAGGGGCAGGGAGAGTCTCGGCTATTGTAGCAGTAAAGACAGCGGACGCAGCCTAGTGGAGGCGCGACCAGGACAACGGCCGTCGAGAGTCAGCAAGCGGCCGGAGCTCATTTGGCGCGTCCCAAGCGGTGCTGCGCGCTGAGCAGAGTCGCACGAGGCTTGGGTTGCGGTGAGAGTAGGCAGTTCCGGGTGAGGGCGGTGCAGGTGCAGACCCAGGGAGAAGGGACTGGACTAGTAGTGGGTAGGATTCGGCGCAATCATGGCGGGCGTTGCAATTGGCGCAGGAGACGAGTCAGAGCGAGTGGGCGTGAAGGTGGCAGCGGGAGTCGTGACGATGATGTTGAGGAGGTGGTGGTGGTAAAGACGGGAGCAAAGGAAGCAGGAAAATAATGTGTGACTGTGCAGCAATACCTCCTAAGGGCCCGGCCCAGGGCTCTCGAGATCAGAGCAGGGCGATCGACGCAATGGACGGCCAGCGAGCGCGAACAGGGGACGATCAAGGGTGCGAGGGAACGCTCCAGCCACCTCATCCGCACGGAGAGCAGACTGATGCGGAATCTCTTCCTGGATGTGACGCCGACTGATAGGCTGCGAGGGCGTGCGGGAGGCGGGTGATGCTGTCAATTCTACAGAACATCTCAGACAAAGGCACGATCGACGAAACGCCGGTACCTACAGTAGGGCCGGTTAACACGAGCCGGCGACGTCCCAGTCTGCCATGCATGCTGCCTGCGCTGACGGTGCTCCGTAATTGCAATTTCATAGCCCCTCGTCCACCAGCCCTGGCTAGCATGTCCATGGAGAAAGTGACGTTGAGCTGACACAAACGCATCTGTGTTTCGTCATCCATGGCCTTTTTCCTCCAACTAAGCGAACACCAGACATTCGATCTGCGATGCGACGCAGATGGCGGCGTCGTGTGCGAACGAACAACAAACCCCCGAAAAGCCCTAAAACGGGCTGCATCGGCGATTAACATTCCCATGCGTCAACACGCGACGAAGCCTTGTAGTTCACGCTGTTGCACGTCGTCTTCTCTGCTTGATTACACTCACTGCACCCGTCACCTATCGCCCTGACCCTGACCCTGACCTGGCCATGGCTGATCAACGCGCTGCAAGGGGCGGGAAAGGACATCTGGGCACGCCCACTTCCGCCCAACTCGACATCACCAGCGGAGCGGAACGCTGCGTTGCTCATTTCCTCTTGAAGCAACGCCGTCCTTGGCTAGAGCACGCACGTGAGTATGACAGACGGCCGCATATCCATGAATACATTGCGCTATGTCTCATCTGAAGCTCCATGGTGATGGCATACTGGACCCTTGGGCGTCATTACAACCGCCTTGAATCTACCCCAGCGTGAACATCGCGTCCGACGGCTCGTCAGCCTTTTCATCGGCGTTGCCTCGTGACCTGTCCAACCTCGGCAGCAGACGATGCCGGGCTAGGCGCACCAACCGCACTGCTGGCCGTGTCGTCGTCGCAATGTGGTTTGAAATCATACGATGCTGCATTTGTTGGCTCGCATCGGCCCTACTCGTCCTCCAGAACTGTCTGCCCATCTCCTCCGGGCACCATCTGGAAATGTCAGTACTGGCGCACAAACTAGACAGGGCGGCCCATACCATGCAGATGTTGTTGCCGTTCAATAGGATTTTGGGCAGCTGCACATTTCCCTCTGCCGGGTCACTGCCGTCGTGTCAGTCGCACTTGTCCGTGTCGAACATGAAAGAACCTTGGAAGCTACGCACATCTCCGTCACGTTCTCCAAGACCATGTCTGTTCTTGTTAGAGTAGTTCCGTCCACGTTGTCTCACTCAACCTCACTTACTGACGTAGTCATCGAATCCAACCAGCTTCCCGGTGAATTCTTTCCCTCCGTTCATAATGACCCAAATCTGCGAACCTACACATTTGTCGATGAGTTCTACACAGGTTAGTCGATAACCGATACTCGCTTGCGATCAAGGCCTACCTAGCGGAAGGAGGTTCTCGAGCGACATGGTGGCGTGTTTTTTTGTGAGCTGAGTATCGGATGTTGAATATAGAGGTCGTGTTTGAGGTGCAGGTAAGACCAAGGTGGTGATTGGTTTCGATATCTTGGCGTTCAGGACCATCTTTCACAGGCGACACGCTAGCCAACCAGTGCTTGCGAAGCAACAGGCAGCAAACATCTTGTCCACACACGATCAACTCGCATCCGTGACGACTATCCTCTTCTGTCAGCGCCTAGTGGGAGCACTACCATGGAGTGTTATGCTCTTCCGTCGACGCGCCTCTCTGCTGAGCGCGTCAGATGCCCCGCGGCGTGTTTGCCATGAGACATCCGCCAACACCCTACCCTCTGTAAAGCGCCGTACATTCGCCACGCATACGTTGCGTATTGGAGAGTGCAGGGCAATGCACACCACTTCACTACGCTCAACGTCTGCTACTCCCCCCGCCTCGACCTGCTGCTGGAAGCGAGGACGGCCTGCTACCAGACGCGACAACTTTCCTAGAAGACTCCATCAAACCCCTGCTGCGGGGCCACAACCTTCAGTGAGCCAGCCTATTTCCAAAGAGGCAGTACCCATGGCCGAAGACCCTCGTTGCAAAAGTCAAGCATCGGCTACGCTACACGTACGACCTACTGAGACTCCCCCAGCACCAGGCGCTGACCGATTCCAGCGGGTGGGACTATGGAATCCAGCTCATGGACTACGTTTTGCGACGACAGCGGCGGCCGAAGCGTCTAAGTCGGACTCTATCCACGAAGCCACCGAGACTGTGTCTTCACGTATAGATGAATCAGCTGCAACGATTCGCACTGACGAGTCCTCTCCGAACACTCGAAACGAAGCAAACGAAGCTACCGGACACACCGAGGGAGTTGCTGTAGAGGGCACTTCAGAGAGCGACGATTCTAGCGGTGTTTCATCTCAGCGCGAGACCGAGACCGAATCCAAGGACAACGAAGAAGACAATGCAGATGAACACGTTTCTCTCACATATCAGATCCCAGAGGAAAGGTTGCGTGCTGCTATGCTTGCCGCTCCCAACACACGGGACAGTTATTGGAGTGCCAAACTCTATCAAGGACCTGATGGCGAATCTCTCTCCACCCATTACTGCAAGTCTTTCGATGTTGCTGAAAGGGTGGCTAAGTATTTTTTACAAGAGAAGGTAGTTGGCTTCGACATTGAATGGAAGCCTCGTGGAAATCCATACTCGATCAAGCAGAATGCTTCATTGATTCAGCTGGCTTGCGAAGATCGAATCGCACTCTTTCATGTGTCGCTTTTCTCCGGAAGCAAAGCGGAGCAACTAATGCCTCCCAGTCTGAAGGCTGTTCTCGAATCACCAGACATCTACAAAGTAGGTGTGTCTATCAAGGGCGACTTCACGCGCCTAGAGAAGTACCTCAATGTTCAGCCTCAGGGGGTTTTTGAGTTGAGCCGCTTGCATAACCTAGTTGAGTGGTACGGGGTAGAGCCTAGCAAAGTCTCAAAGAGGGTTGTGAACCTCGCTTCCCAAGTGCTGCAGCATCTGCAGCTGCCCTTGTATAAAGGCGAGCAGTTAGCCGACGACTCCGAAACAACACCTAGCGTTCGGGAAAGTGACTGGAGTCTTCCTTTAGATGTGCAGCAGATACACTACGCAGCTGCTGACGCGTATGCTGGATTTCGCCTGTATCATATGCTCGAATGGAAAAGGACACGGATGAAGCCGACCCCTCCTCCAGTAGCTCTTTGCGATTTTGATAACAAGCCTTCACCAAGGCCCAAGGAATCCCGCAAGAGAATCAGGAAGTCCAAGGACGTAGCAGACACAACTGTAAAGTCCGCAGTTGACGTGGCTGAAGACCAACAAGAAGACGAAGGAGACACCGAAGGGTACGAGACAGCGACAGAGGAATTTGCTGACAGCCATCAACTCGAAGAATCACTGTATGCAAAATCGACAATTGTCTCTGCAGGTGGCGCGGACAAGACCCACGTGTCCCAATCCACCCGGAGCAGTGATCTAGAAAAGACGGAGAGAATGGGAGCTGAAAGCATAGTTTCTCCTGAAAAGCGGGTTGGTCGAGTGAACCTCTCCCGGCTCGACCATACTAATTTTGGATACCCTAAACTGCCTGAGACATCACAAGAGGAAGACACAGAAACACTACCCTCTGCACTGTCTAAAGAAGATGTTGGTGCGCAGCTAGAGGGTCAAGACAAGGGTGTTTCCTTTCAGAGGCAAAAAGCTGATGATGACGAATTTGCAGACCCAGAACTTGAAGATGCACTCAGACGTATGACTCTAGACGACAGTGGAAGGTTGACAGAAGATGTGAACGGCCTAGCATTGGAGCATACTTCCCCTGACCTTCACGAACCTAACGGGCCTATCCCAACACCACAACCGGACATTGGTCTCCTGGACGAGCCATCACGAGCACCCGAATACAACTTGGCGACAACATGGGCACAAGAGCATCTTCAACTTACCATCCCATCGCCTTCCTCGACAACACCCTCGCGTATACGTGCAACCGTGACGCACCTTCGCGCTTATCATATGTGGTATTACCAGAGGCTTTCGATTGATAGGAT